CAGTCAAAATGTGGCTCCTGGCATTCAAAATTGGGAGTCCCCGGATTCCCGCGGCACTCCCCGGATTCCCGTGGCACCCGTCCGGCATCTGCCCAGACCCTCTCTGGGGAGTCATGATGCTCTCTTTTGATACCATTAGAAACCTATCAGTTTTTGCTGTTAGGTAATGGTCTGGGGTGCAGTTATTGACGTTGACCCTGCACCATTGACCACGAGGGTCCTGCAGTAAGTAACCAAGGCGTGGATCCCAGATCTGCCTGAAGCCGTCCTCCTGTACCAGTTGCCCTACAGATAGGACCGATGGGAAATCGTCCAGCGCGAGTGCCGAACTGGATAGTCCAATGTGGGGTTACTTGAGGTGGGTGTGCTCGTTGACGATCCTGTCGCCGTTGGCCGTTTCGAGTTTTTGTCCTCGCCCTTGGTGCGCGTCAGTAGCTTCGCGCGGTTGGAGGTCAGCCTTGTCTTGGATGTGATAGGCGGAGCCGCTATCCAAGATCCATGACCGCGACAGTGCTGCTGTGGACCGCGTCGTCGTCATAGACTCAAGCGCTGGCGTTGCCACCGACGCAGTGTTGCGAGTCGGCGGCGGGTCATGCGCCGTGGGAAGCCTGGTAGCCCGCATGATTTCAGCATGCAACCGTTCAGCTTCGGTCTGGCAGTCACGAACCGCTTGCGCGCTATCTTCCAGCCACCAGTCGGGCAACGTGTCAGGTACATGTACATCTTCGCCTTGATTGACCAAAGGCTCACTGTACCTGTACCGTTCGCGGTAAACCGAATAGGTTGCGATGTGCACGTTGTCGTCATCTCAAAACGGAGTTGCCGTGATAGCTGCTCGGACAGAAGATATTAGCCGCTCGCGGGCCACGCATGCCTGGTCACGTCGTCTATTGCAACGCGTCGCCGCTGGAGAGCGGTTGCGATCGCGGGTGGATGGAATTGGCCGGGGCCGCGAGATGCGGATCGGCTTCCGTTTCTGTCGCTCCTTGTGGGGCAGCGTCCGCGATCACGGTCGCGGATGGAGTTCCGCGATGAAGATCTGGAGCGCTGCGGGGATCGGAAAGACCATCCGACCCCCCGGACCGCGCGAATCGGGCCGCCCCCCGCGCCCAGGAGATGGCGCGCCTCGGCGTGACCCGCGCGCGCCCCCCAGACTTCGGGCGCCCTGCCGCCCCATGTAGGGGGGGGATCTGCGGCCCCCCGCACGTCGTGGGGATGGCGTCCTGCGGCGGCTGTCTTGACTGAGTGTCCGACTGGGGCTCCTCTCAAGAGTCTTCGCGCCAGGGTCAACGCTCGCAAATCGGCGGCTGTTTTCCATGCTTGCGGCGTAGCTTCGGGTCTACATGGAAGCTGCATTTGGCAATGCGTGGGCACTTGCAGCGATCTCGTCGCGGACAGGAGCCGCGTTTCGCGCAGGCAAAGCAGGAGTTCTGTTTGACCTTGTCTTTCGGCGGAGGCCCGGAGGCTCGGCCGGTGGAAGGTCGCCATTCGCGGGCGTCTCTGCCAGGGGCAGAAGGTCGCCGAGGAGGTCGCTATGGAGCGGCTGCTAGAGCCTGCGCGCGGCATCTTGCACCGTTCTCCGTTCTTGCAACGTCCAGACTTGAACGCCGCGCAGATGACAACATCATGTCGTGCCGATTCGATATTGAGGTTGTGCTGGTTGCGTTCGAGTCGGTGCAATTCAAAGTCGGCTGGGGCGAATTCTCGAAGCCACTCGCATGTGCGATTGGGGTCGTCGCGTTTCCTCTTGTAGTAATCGTGCATGTCCTGATTCGTCCACTGATGTCTGCGCATCTGCGCTCGGAGCAATGACTCGAGTATTTTCGTGTCGGGTGGTTCGTGGCATTCCAAAAGTAGATCGTCCCAGTCCACGATGAACCGTTGCGAGTCGTCGTCCCGCATGCGAACAAATTGTAGACGTTCGAAGTCATGCATCGCGTCGTCGACCTCGGTGACTTTGTAGGATTGTAGTATCCAGTATACATGTGTCTACCCTTCAACATGCGGCCGGCTGTGTGTTCCTGAGCTACGAGGTCCTGGATGCAGTGCCCGAGCTCAGCATTGAAGACTGCCGTGAGTCCAGCAGCAAGTTTGCAATCGGTGCTTTCGAAGTCGCCGCTGTCGTGGAAAGTAATGGCCGGTTGTTCTGCAACGTAAAGAAGTGCGCAAGTCTTGGCAGGTCGCCCAGAGGCGCTGCCAAGGTTGTCCCGAACGATATGTTGCCACTCTTGTAACTGAGGAATGCGCGGCAGTTGTGGAGTACGTACTGTATGTGATTATTTGATGGGCTACTTCGAGAAAAGTGCGACAGTGTCTGCGATGGAACTGGTTGAATTGGCGATGGTGCACGCGCGGAAAAAGTGTGGCGCGTCTGAATGGAAGCCGCTGCCGAGGCGGCGTCCGGCGGCGTGCGCCGCGCGCGCCCAGCGCGGATGTCTCCATCGGCACGAGTTGGGACATGGCCGGCACGAGGTTCAGGAGGCGGGGTCGGATGTTGGACCTGGGCGTCGCTCGCGCGGGCCGTCAGGGTAGCTTCGGTGGTTGTGATGTCGGTCTGCGTCTTCTGAACGCTCTGCTGTGTGCCACGTATCTCAGCGTTTGTGTTGTGGGTTCGCTGGGAGTGCCAGCCCAGTCGATGCTCTAAATCCTGGATTCGTCGGCTGTGCGCGCCTCGCTCGTGTTCCAAAAGGGTTGAGTGTATCCTCGACCCGTGCCTTGTCAGCGTCTCTGTCTTGGGAGATCTGGGTGAGTCGTTGTTGCGCGTGGCCCGCGGCCGCCCATGCCTCGGCCAGTCGGGCGTCGAGGGGGGCGGAATTGCAAACCGAAGTCGGCGCGCCCAGCCGCGCAGTCTGGGCCCGCACAACATGCAACTCAGTCAGCGCAACCCCTATTTCAGGTAGCTGTTGCTCGACCGTGGAGACTCGGTTCACAGGGGATGGGGCGCGTGCCTCGGAAGCGTCAAGGCGCTGAGCGATGGCCGTCTCAGCGCTGCGCAGCTTGCCGCGCAACTCAGACGTGGGCGTGGTATTTGGGGAGAGCAGGTTGGCATTGGCAACCTCAATCTGGGCGCGGAGCGCATTGAGTTCCTCGCGGAGCTGTTGGTCCGCAGGTCCGTTTACCTCCATCGCTGGAACCTGCCGCACTGCCGGGAGCTCAGCGCGCAGTGTCCTGACGGCGGCAGTGCCCGCGCCCCTGACGGTCGCGAATTGCGCCTCCACTCGAAGGAGGTAGTCGTGAAACGTCCGAAGTGTAATGGAGTCGGAACCTTGGTGTGACTCCACTCGGTCGACTTGATGCTGGACCTGGGCGAGGATGGATCAAACTTCAGCGATCCGAGCGTCGACCAAGGCAAGGGCGCGGTGTAGCTCCTGCTTTGGCGTTGCTGTCTGCGCGGCAAGACCCGACAACTGCCCACTCGTGCAGGTTTCAACCTGGTCTCGAAACTCGGCCGCGCCGCTGGCGGAGGGCGACGCGCGCGGTGCAACATCGCGTCGCGGGGAACTCGGCCGCGAGCGCCTCTGAGAGGGGCTGCGGCTATTGTCCCTGCACGGGATTGAATTTGAACCCTCTCTGGGGTCCTTCGCTGGGATGTCCGCCCCGCGCGATCCTCAATGACGCGCGCGCGTTCAAATGCAGAAGCGTCAGGGGGGGCGGTGCCTTAACCCAGCGGCGGGGGCGCGCGAAAGCGTTGTCTGGAGACGTTTCTCTGGCGCCGCCGCTGCGGGTGCGTCCACCGGCGCAACGTGCATGATCGAAGGTAGGAGAAGAAGATGGAGGCGAGGCGAATCCAGCGGCGACTCCGAAGCCAACTGCTCGTGTTTCCACCGGCGCATGGGAACAATGAAAGGCGGCGCCGGGAAATGTTCCATCGGACGCATCAGGCGCCGGAGCTTGAAGTGAGGTCCCAGGCGTGCGAGTGGGGGCGCGCGCGAGCGGCGGCGGCGGCGGCGAGTCAGGAAAAAGTTCGCCAACGGCAGCCGCAAACGACTCCGAACTGCCTTCGCCTGAAAAGGGGGGAGAAAGGTATCACGGATTCTCTCGCCCTCTCCGTGGTGTCGCTGCGCCCGCGCTCGGTCGAAGAATCGGCACGCATAGAGGCGCTGGCGCTGCCTCCCGAAGGGTGCAGGACCATGCGACGGAGTCAACGACGAAGCTTAGCGCGGCGACGAAGAGCGTAAAGTATTCGGCTGCTAACCGGTGTATGTAGGTTAACGACCAAAAAATGGAACCTACACAATATCCCGTAGGTAGAGCTAAGAGAAGGAAGAGGGCAGCTAGTAATTTTCCAGGGCGCTGCGAGGAAGGCAGCGCGGTATGTTATACCAATACTTAAGCCGATACGCCAGCGGTATGTAATGATATAGTGACGATATCAGCGGACTGTGCACAAAATTGGAGACCTCTTGAGGGTCCGAGATCGGGCCTTAGAGGCCTAGGACGGCAACAGGCGTGCGCCCCAGTGCTCTCCTGACGCCTGAACCTGTGGAGCAGGGCGACGAGGGCCCCCCCAAAGGCCCACAAAATGGAGAGCGAGGGAAGGGCACTCCAAACCTCACAGTAGGGGAGGGGGCGGATCAAAACAGTGTTTGACAGCGCGTCTGGGACCCCCTCTCAAGAGCGGTGCAACAACGGGTGCACTATCGAGACCCCCGAACAATCTTGTTTGACAAGGCCCGTTGGACTCCCTACAGAAGTAGACCCCTCCCCCATTATTATAAAATCTGGAATGCCCTTTCCTCCTTTGCTATCGCCCCCCCCAGCGTTGCAGCGTTGCCCCAGAGTGCATCATATCTTCCGAAATCTGCGGAGGGCGCGGGCGCCCGATCCACGAGTCCAGGACTTGAAGAGGGGCCAACACGTCGCCCTTTGCGGGTGGGTGGTCGGGCCGATGGACGCCGCGCCGCGCACGGACAACTCCGCGCATCACCGAGCCGATCGACACCGAGGGCGGCTCCTTTTTCGTATTCACGGCTAGCTGCTAGTCTACAACGGCCCTGCACCTCCAGCTCGTGGGTGCAGAACTCGATCCAGGAATCGATCATGCCGCCCTCCAGGAGGTTCTGGCCGTAGAGCGCCACTTGCCGGTTGATGCGGGAGATGTAGCGCGCGATGGCCGCGCTGGAGAAGATGCAACCCTGGGGCGTCTCGAGCACCTTAGCCGCAAATCCCCCCGCGCGCGCCTTGACAGAAAGGAGGGGGGCAGGAGGACAAGAAGGACGGAGGGAAAGGGACGGGGAGAGGGAGGGACGCATGGAGAGAGGAGGAGGAGGAGGAGGAGGAGGAAGAGGAGGAGGTGGAGGAAGAGGAGGAGGAGGGGGAGGAGGAGGAAGACGAGGACGAGGAGGAGGATCTTGCAATAAACCTTCCTTCCAAGTTCTCTCTTTGTAGGTCCCTCGAAGAATGTATGATTCTTGCTATAATTGGCCCACAAAACGCAGTTCCTGGGACTTCAACGCCGTGGATTAACATGATTGTTGCGCCCTGACAGCCCCGAATCCGCGCCAGAACAACATCTCTGGGACCCCATCACGAATCAACGTGACTGCTGCGTCCTGGCATTCCCAGAGCATGCCGGAACGTGATTCTTAGGATTTCGGCCATACGAATCCTTCACACGGCGCTGAGATGAGAGCCACATTTTCAAAAGCACCCGCTGCCCGTCCTTGAAGCAGTTGTGAATAGCACGAATGCACGCGGCGCAAAGGCGATAGCCAGATGTCGAAAACGGCCCGCCCTCCGTCCGTGAACTTGCGAATGTGCGCGGCTCTTAAGCGAGAGCCGCATCTTGAAGAATACCCGCCCTCCATTCACGAAGCTGCTGCGAAACTAATGCGCGTGGAGCCCAAACGAAAAACACTTTCTGAAGACCGCCCGCCCTCCATCCGCGCAGCTGTTGCGAACTGTTCAGACGAAAATGCGCGGAACTGAAGCGAGGACCACCTTCTGAAGACCACCCGCCCTCCATCCATGAAGCTGCTGCAAATTTCAAGCTTCACGACCAGAAGTGGCGACGATGTCTTGGGCGAAACGCCCGGCCCGACCTACCGACACGTCCGAGGGTGCGACACGGAGGAACTAGTTATAAAGAGAAGGGATGGAGGAAGAGGAGAAGGAGGACCAGCAGCAGTAGAGCCACCGCCTCTTCCTCCTCCTCCTCCTCCTCCTCCTCTTTCTCCTCCTCCTCCTCCTCCTCCTCCTCCTCCTCCTCCTCCTCCTCTCTCCATGCCTCCCTCCCTCTCTCCGTCCCTTTCCCTTCCACCGCCTCTTTCTCTTCATCCTCCTCCTCCTCCTCCTCCTCCCTCTCCTCCTCCTCCCTCTCCTCTCCATGTCTCCCTCCCTCTTCCTCCTCCTTTTCATCCTTACTTCTCCTCCCTGCCTCCCTCCCTCCCTGCCTCCCTCATTTCCTCCCTCCCCCCTTCATTCCCTCCCTCCCTCCCTCCCCTCCCTCCCTCCCTTTTGCGCCGCCTCCGCGCCCCCAGTGATCGAGACCGAAGAGGGCGGGGAAAAAAGAGGTTAGCTGGGGGCCGTTGTGGCGACCACCCCCCGCCATTCCGCCGCCGAAGTCTTGAGGGGCCAAAGAGGTGAGATTCGGTGGCCCTTTGGCCACGGGAGCTTGCCCCATGCCAGCAACCTCCTCTGGGCCCTGAGAACCTTGTTGACACAAGGCTCCAAGCGGCGTCTGGGGGTGATCGAGCAAAAAGTTCCGCACCTCTTGCAAACAAAAAAACGACCCCCGTCCCTGACGTGAGGGAACAGGCCACACGGAACCATGGGCCTTGCCAGGTCCCGTGCAAACCTTCAGGGCAAGGAGACTCGGAGCTAATTGACCACAAGCACTGCTGCCAAGGGGGTCCTTGAACGTCCTGGCGCAAGCGACGCGCTGCCATCTGGAGCCGTTCTACAGCACTTGGTGGAGGACCCCATGTTTCAGAGTGCGAGGGATACGGGCTCTGGCGGCCCTCGCGGGGTCGCCAAGGACCTCCTTGGATCCTGGCCACAACTCGAGCATCTTACACATATTCTTGGACACGTCGAACCATCTGTCATATTCGAAGAAAACCAACCTCGGCATTCTGGGCCTCAGGGCGCACCAGGGCCCCGCGCTTCGCATACTCACCCGCCAGATCGCTACCTGCCGCGCTCATGTTTTCGATATCCGCGAGGCCCTCTTTCGAGGACTTGAGTAGGCCTTGACCTTGGCGAGGCTCAGCAGGGGGAAGTGTCCTTCGTGAACATCTCTCCAGATGTAGGCGGCGGAAGCCGGCCCGTCGAGGGCGGAGTGCGGGAGGCCGGTGCCCTCCATGAGGGCCGCGCAGTCCACTTTCGCAGCGAACATATCAATGCTGGCCCCTGCCTGCGTGAGACCTCGCAGCAGTACAACATGCTCGCCCAATCCAGGCGGCTGGAACGGGGAACCTGGAAAATTGCCGAATCTAGCCCCCCTTGTGGGTCTCTAGGTGCGTGAGATGATCCCCCCCCTCCCAATCCCCCCTCCCAGGGACCCCAAACCGGCAATTCGACGCCCCCCCCCTCGCCGAGCGCGACCCCGGACCGAACGCGCCACGGGGGAGCGGAGGGCTCCAAAACTTGCCAAGAAGGCACCATAACGCTCCCCAGACGGTCACAGGGGGCCACGATTCACCGAAATATCGCCCTGGACGCCCACGATGGCCTCCAGGCGGCCTCCGAAGCTGCCAAGACTCCCCAAAAGGCCCCCAAGATGCGCCCCAAGAGGGCCCCCAAAAACAGAAATCGCCCCAGTCCCTTCGAAAACGAAAATGTTTCGCATGCTCGCCCATTCGGTTTTCACAACGTCCCAAGCGGGCAAAGAAACCTTCAATGCACCCCCCAGACCGCCAAATGAGCCCCCAAGACGGGTCGAAGAGGGTCCAACAACAGCCCCCGAAGCTTCCAAGACAGCCCAAGAGGGCCCCCAGACGGCTCCAAGATGGAACTAAAAGAACGCCGTTTCGAGCCTTCGGCCCCAAGACGCCCCCAGCCTGCCCCAAGAACAGCCCGAGGGGCCCTGGGGGCCTCCCCAAGGAAACCTCAAAGGCCTCCAAGAAGCCCCCAGGAAGCCCCCAAGAGGCCCCCAAACTTGGCCCAAGATGCCTCGAGGAGGCCGGCTATGGCCTGCAGACAGGCAGAGATGCCACCAAAAGGCAACAAAAAGAGCACCAAGAGGTACGATAACAGCAACGAAGCAACAGGAACGACGTCGAACGCCGTGTCACGATTCGCACAAGCCTCGTGACATGCAGTCCTGGAGGCGCAGTAGTTCATATAAGGGTCGGCGCACGCGGCGCAAGCCTAGAATCTAGCCCGCCTGAAAACGCCACCAGGGTCGGCATCGACAGCGGCCCAGCCGGCGCGGGCCCCTCCAGAGCCCGAGAACCCCGGTCCAAAACAACCCCAGTCGAGCAACATGTCGTCGTCGCTCTCGAAAACAAAATGTTCGATGCTGCCCGTGACATCAAGGAATTCCAGCTGCTCGCCCATAATGGGAGGGGCCCTGGGTGCCGGGGCAGGCATCCATAGCCTGGCAGACAAGGGTCGCGTGGACCTGCTGCCAGGGCTTCCACGCTTAAATTAAACCATCGTCGATTCGCTCTCCCCTCTCCTGGTCATTGGCGCTGCGCCCCCGCGCGCGGTGCCGCGCCGCTTCTGTGGCAAATTTGACGGGCTGCGCAACGGCGAGACCAGGTAGCCCCAGCTGTGGAGCTTCGCAGAGGTCACGTTGACACCGCAACAAAAACCTGACGGACCAGGTGCCCGCGAAGGCTGGGGCGTCTCGAGTTCCCCGGGAAGGTCCGAGGTGGGCGAGCCCAGAGCCCCGAGGATTGCATCTCCAGCCCCTGCTCCGAGAACTCCCTGTTGCCCAGGAGACGCCCTTTGTCCCTGACGGACTCCAGCACAGCGGCTCTGGGCCCCCCCAGGAAGGCAGCTTTGATGGCGTGCGGCGGGGCCCCCGGTGAGGAGCATATCAAATCCATTGGGCCAGCGCACCCTCGCAGGGTAGGCGAAAACCCTCGAGGCATTCTGGAGCATGCAGAGCACGCCCCGAGAACACCGAAGCTCTTCTTGGCCCAGCTTGCTTTCTGGTGGAGGCTGTCGAACCTGTATTTGGCAATGTTGAAGGCCCTGCTGAGTTCCTCGGGGGAGAGGCCGTCGTGGGCCTCCAGGACGTCACTGGTGGCCACCCACCACTCTCTGCAATGCCGGGCGAGGCTGGCCGAGGCGTGGCCGATGGGGCCCTTTTCTGGATCCAAAGACCAGGCCAGCTGCGCGCTGGCTCCTGGCGAGGAGAGACCTAGCGCCGCAGCTCCGTGACGTCGCAACTGTTGGATCTCTCCTGGGGACCACTATGTGCTGTCTTCCCCGCAGGTCAAGCCTGGCTTCACCCCGCAAAAGAACAGCTTGGTCTTCTTTCTTAAGCCCCGCGAGGCATGAGATGTTGACCAGGCGGCTCTTGGCTTTCCGACATCTGGCCTTCCCCTTGACCAAGACCTCGGGCTGGGCGCGGGCCTTGCCTGGCGCAAAGTCAACTCCAAGATTGATGGCCGCTGGCTCCTCCATCGGGGCCTGCGTAGACACCTAAATTGGTAGTGGCACGACAGAGGAGCAGCTCTGAGTTGCCAGTCATGGCAAACTTGTCCACGACAAATGGAAGGTTGAGCTTCGTGGTCATGCGGTCCACTAGATGCGCCACTGCTTGCCGCGTCGTCGCGATGAGTGGGAGCATGCCAGGGCACCTGCGATTGAAGCTGAAGCCGTTTATATGGATGTCCAGCGAAGGGCCCAAGTCCGTTGGGAAGGTCGAGACTACTGGCAGCATGCGGCACTTAATCTCGAAAGTGGATGTGCCCGAACCTGCCGCGATGCCCTTCCGCGGGAAAATGCACGCTGAGGCCTGGCCAGCCAGGGCGAGAATCCTCGGCCACAAGCACGACGCCAATGCAAACAGAAAGGCAGCAAAAAGGAATCGAACGATTCGGCCGCCGAGCCTAGCCTTTCGTGTTCGACGTGCCCATGGCGCTGGCGGAGGCCCTCCACGACGCTGATGATGCGCCCCCCTCCTAGGTTCTAGGTGCGCTGCGCCCCCATCTGATCGATAGCATCCAGGCCCCGTCCGTTCACGAGACCGGAGGGATTCAGCGCCCTTGTTGGGCTTGCGGAACAGGGGGGCCATCAGGGCCTGCATCCGCGCGAGGCAATTGCCTGCCAGCCTGATCAGCGCAAGATCTCTAGGGCGCCGTCAGAGAGCGCCGCGAAATGCCTGGGATGGACGCCGTCGACGGCGATGGCGCGGGTCTGGAATGAGAAAGAAAGGCCGCGGAGCTCCGAGACGGTCGGCGCTCTCGGGATCGGCGCGGAAGGCCAACGGCGAGGAGGCGGCCTTCTCATGGCCCCCGCGCTCCACGATTGAGAGCAGACGCGCCCCTGCTCCCCCGGGGCCGCAGTCGCTGCAGTCGGGCAGCTGGCGGGGGATCTATCCTCGCAGGCATGGTAAATCTCCTCGCGGCAGTCCTCTGCAACTCCGGTGTGCGCATGGGCCCGCTTGGCCCCTCCCTCTAGCGCCCAGTCGCGCCGCGCCTCCCAGCTGTCTCTGGCTGCTTATTATCCAAAGGGTGGTGGGTGAAAGAGATGTCCAGGGCCTCCTGGCCCAGCTGGTCGAGGCCCTGGATGAGACTGGCGCTGTCGAGCCCGAAATGCTAGTGCAGAGCCCAGCTTCGATCCCCAAAAAGGTACTCCTGCTGGTCCGCGGTGGCGAGCTCTGTGCCCGCGGGCCCCTTCGAAGCCCTCTGGAGCACCCCGGAGAGAATATTGAAGTAGTTATCTCCCCAAGTCCTGCCAGCGCGGAGCAGCGCGACGACCCCCGGGCATCGCTGCCACTGCAAGTCTCGAAAAGTGGACTTGGCGCGGGGCAGATCGGCCGCCTGCAGCCAGGGGGGGGGGGGCACTGGAACTCGCGCGCTACTCCCCCTGCCCCCCCGCTCTGGATACGTCTGAAAGATGCCGCATAACTCACCCCGGGCCAGATTATGTCACTCCTTCATGGCGGAGCCCAGGGCCTCTTGAACCTTCTGGGAGTCCTCGTCAGAACTCGGGGCCACGTAACCCTCGTCATTGGGGCCCGCGGAGTCGCCCGGGACACCATCTATGGAGCCCTCGAGGCACCCGTGCACATGCGCTCTGGGTCGGGGCCCCGCGGGGAGAACCGCAGGGGGCCGCTGTCTTTGAACGAGACGCGATTCCTTCTTATCCGGTGGAGAAGCTTCCAAGTTCAAATACACAGGCCTGCGCGGAGCGAGCTGCGCCTCCAAGTCCGCGACGCTGTCGGCCACGGCATGCTGGTGGGCAGAGGACAATGCGACGAATGGCAGCACTTCCCGGTGTCCCCAGCGACGCATGTAACAGGGGGTGAGAGGATGATGGCCTGACCCTTGTACTTCCGCTGAGGTAGGGCTGTTTCCACTACGTGGGGCTCCAGGTTGCGGCCCCCGCCAGAGACGAATGACAGCCCGTGGGCCGGGATGTGGGGCTCCAGGGCCTGGGCGGGCGCGGTGTTTCCCTGCTTGGACCTGCAGTGTCCCGCCAGCAGTTGGATTGCAGGGCCACGACACCTAGGTCCTTCGGGCGGATGTAGATGCTCAAAATGCGGGAGGGCCAAGCCGCCGACTCTGCCAGCTGCCGCGCGCCCAGGTACCCTCGCACCATGATGTGGCAAAACCTGCTGACATGCCTGCGCGTGCGCGGTGACCCACCGTCTAAAAGGAGCACCAGCCTTCCTCCGCAGGGGGCTGCTTCACCTCGATGATGCGCTCTGCTGCGAGCACGTGCTCTTGTACAAAAACAATGCGAGACTGGCTGGCTCGGATGAGCCGCTTGGCCAGGCCCCATCTCGAACCGCTGGCCGCCACGATGGTGAGGCCAGCCTTGAGGGGGCCAGCTTTGACTTGCTCTCGTGATGGGTCGCATTGCACAACAAATAACCACCGCTGAGGCGATCCTGCTGGGACTCCTGCTTATTTGTTTGCTGGTCGCGCCCGCTGGGCCGTCGCCCTTGTCGTCGCCAGGCCCCTTGCCACGGCGGCATGAATCGGCTGGCGGCTGGGCTGGGTCGGGCGCCGCCCACGCTGCGGCGGCCCCCGCGGGCGGGGCGGTTGGGGTCGCTGGCGCAACCGCACCTGGGGCTCCGACGCCGTCGATGACCATCTCCTGCTGCTGGCCCTGCTGCGCCGCGGCCTGTTGTTGCTGCACCTGCTGCACCTTCCGGATGGTGGTGACCAGCGTATGGATCGGGCTCTTCAGGGCTGTGGCCTCCGCTGCCGTGATCTTCGTCGCGAAGGCGCTGAACTCCGCGAGGACCGTGCCTGCTGGGCAAGTCGCGTTCTGTGACGAAGGCGCAGCCGAGTCGATTGCTGGCGGAAGCTGCTTCATGACCTCGGCATGCTCGGCTATCCTTTGCTGGCGCTCCTTGACGCTGCCCCCCCCGTCGAGATCTGGGTCTCGAGGTCGACAATGTGGCGGCGGAGCTTCACGATCTTGTCCCTGTGCAGGACAATGTTGTGCTCATGCTTGGACCGGGCCGTCTAGACTTGTAGCAGCTTCTGGCTCGCGGCCTTCCAGAGCTGCTGGGGAACCTTGTTGCCGTCGCGTTCGTCGCGGAGGACGTCAAGAGCATTCTCGAGCTTCTGCCTCGCTGGGGATATTCCGCCCGCGCCTTCAGCCTCCTTCTTCGCGTCGACAACGCATTGAGGAGGTTCTGGCACTGGGTGATGTGCTGGCCGAGTTGCGGCCCATGCTGCTGCCGCGGCGGGATTCCCTGGTCCTCGTCGCCTGGGCCCCCCATGGATGCATGCTGGCCGCGGGGAGGTGGGGGGCGGAAGCTTACCCTGCCAATGAGCGCCACACATGCGACAGAAGCTGAGCCGAAAGTGGTTTGTGGCCAGGCAGAACTTGCACTTCCTCGACTGAGACTGCTGAGCCTGCTGCGCGGGGCTCGGCTAAGACTGCTGGTGCGGTCCTGGGGAACGGGTGGAGACCTGCGGGGATCAACGTTATGTGAAAATCTTGACGTCGGGGGGGTTTGGGTCCTGTGCCATCCTCAGGGTGGTCATCGCTCGAACGTCCATTCCCCGTGCACTTTTAGGTTTCGTGTGTTTGTTTTGTCGAATGATGGCCCGAGATGCTCCTCGATGGTCCCCGCCACAATAAGATGCATACGTCCGAGCGATGCCAAGCAAAGTCTCAGAACCTGCAGAGCGCACCGGCCATCGGGAGGTCCGAAACAGCTCGCCAGGGCTTGAAACAGGCCTAAGCCAAAATGACTACGGAACCTCCCTCCGACTCCCTCCCTCCCTCCCCACCGCCCTCCCTCCCGCCATCCCTCCCTCCCTCCCTCGCTCCCTCCCTCCCTGCTCCCTCCCTCCCTCCTCCTGCTCTTCCTCCTGTTTTTGCTGATGCTGCTGCCGCTGCTCCTCCTCCTCCGCCTTTTCCTTCTCCTCCTCCTCCTCCTCCTCCTCCTCGTCCTCCTCGTCCTCCTCGTCCTCCTCCTCCTCCTCCTCCTCCTCCTCCTCCTCCTCCTCCTTGAGAGGGTGCGCCACTTGGGGGAGCCCAGAGGCACCGGGATCTTCCCGGTCTGGGCCGCCGCGGCGCCCGCGGGGGTCTCGACCTCGAGCCCGACGTACTTGGCGGCGATCAGGGCCTCGCGTTCGAGGCGAGGGGACAAATCGAGGAGATCAATCCTAATCCTCCTCGATCGAGGCTTTGCGCCGCGGGATAAGCTCGAGATTCGAGGTCTGGGGAAATTGCGGTAGGTTCTCGGCAATTTTTCTAGCCTCGGGATTCGTTCCAACGTCTGCGCCTCGCCAGGAGCGATCCAAAGATGCCCAAATCGTCCCGAACGGCCGCTGGAGATTCGAGCTATGATTCGAAAGCCAAAAGGGTAGCGTCAGATGGGATAGGCTTCAAGGTGGGACGCATCGGCCCCCGATCCTCGATCCTCGATGGCTCCCCACTCCTCGCTCTCCGCGACCGCTCCTCCCTCTTCCCTCCTCCCTGTCACTCGATCCTGGATCGTTCCCCCCTCTTCCCATGATCAATCAGAATCGCGAGGGAGGACCAAGCAAAACCGAAACGGGAAATCGGTCAAACCGGGCCGCGCTGGCACGGAGCTGGAACCAGAGCAAACTGGCCGCTCCAGGATGCATAACAGCGCCATCTAGGCAGCGTTATTCCTGCCCGCCGTCACCCAATAGCTATTCCTCCTGATGTGCTAGTTTTGCATGGTAACCTGCGTGGGCTCCAAACACTGTGCGTCTAGCAATACATGTGCTGCAATATATGTGATGCCATGTAGGTTGTGCGCTGTGCACTCTATGTAGTGCCCTCTACGTGGTGCAATTCACCCCGCCGAGCTTGAAATTGTCAGTTCCACTGCTTGCGGAAATCTTCCCACACACCCACCCGCAACTTGGCTTGCAGAACCCATGCGGCGGCGATTGCGATGACTGCTCGGCGCTGGCTGGCACATCGCCGCGGCCGCGGTTGCGCGCATGCTCGCGCGCGAAGCGTCAAGGTGGTTTGGCGCGACCGACGCGGCCGCGGTGGCGCTGTGCCCAGAGGGCGTTTCAGCGCGAATCGGCGAGTTGAGCGGGCGCGGTATCATGGCAGCGTCGACAACGGCAGACGCGATGATGGGGGTAGCGATGCTGGTGACGATGATGACAACGACGACGGCAAGGCAAATGACGACGCCGATGCTGATCACGCCGACGACGATGACGGCGTCCTCGCGTCGGCGACGAAGGCTCTGGAAGCAGTTCGACATACGCGCGCGGCCGACGCGCGAGAGTGGCCCGCATGGTATCACTTGGCGCGGATCGCCCCCCCGCAGCAGGCGCGCAAGGGTGTCCGACTGGAATGAAAATGTTGACAGACCGATGGTGTTCTTCAGAGTTCGCAGGAGCGCGGGCGCAAGCAATTTTGAAACCAGCTGCTGCCAAACCAACTGTTTTTTTACATATTTATGGGACGCTCGATTACGAATTCCTTACGACGCCGCAGGTTGTTGAAAGGATTTCTGCATGCGCGCGCCACGGCGCGCACGGGTGCACTTCGTCCAATTGTTCGCAAGGGGTTCTTACGACAGCACGCGCGCAGGGGAGTTCGAGCGATGCCGACATGGGCGCGCGAGGGGTCCGTTGGGTAGAAGTTGATCGAACTGTTGAAAAGCCAACGGTTTTCTCAAGAATCTGCAAGAGCGCGAGAGCACACTTTTGTTTGACAAGCCTTGTTGGGAAGCCACGTTTTCTCCACATGCTTAGTGGGGCTTTCGTGTTATTCCCACCCGCGTCGCACCCGCGTCTTCTTCGCCCTCCTTATTGTCCTTTTCCTTCTCACGTGAGCGAGCGCTGACTACGCAAACGCGCGCGCGCACATGCGCGCGTGCGCACAAGCACGTCATATATACGCGCGCGGCGCGCGACGCGCGCGCACTTTTTTCGCCGGCGGCGAGGCGGGGGCGGCGCGCGCCAGCGTTTGGCGACCTGGGGCCGAACGACAGACTGGCCGGCACGCAAGAAAAAGAAAACGAGACAGACAGGGCGGCCGCCGAGGACAGGAGACGGCGGAGGGCACTCAGACGTGGAGGAGTTTCACCCCATTCGCGCCGGCGCGGCCTGCAGCGGCAGCGGGGGCCGCGGCGGCAGCCGGGCCGCGGCGCTGGTGCATCCGCGGACGCTGCCGACGCTCAGTGCGCGGTAGAGCAGGTCGTGGACAATGCAAACGCCTAGTCAAGGGGCGACGAGGTAGCACAAGTGGAAGCGATAGTGGATAATGGAGCTCAGGCTTCAGACTGCTAACGGCGCAATGCTGCACCCGCTGGGTGTCAGGCCGGGGCGGCGCGCCCTAGCGCAGCGTCCGCCGGCTCGGCCGCCAGGAGGTCTGCGCGCCAGGAGCGGCAGCGAGCGGCGCCATGGCTGCGCGCGAAGGGAGGGAGGGAAACGCGCGGGGGAGGGATGGGGGGGGGCGCGGGAGGAGAGCGCCCCGCCCGCAGGGAACCCCCAGCAGGCGGGGCGGCGGCGTCCCGCTGCCCAGCGCCGTCGGCGCCGGTGCCAGGCCTCGGGGGCACCGCCGTCGCGCAGCGCCAGCGCGTGGATCTGCGCAGCCGGGGGAACGCGCACGCGCACGCAGACACGCAGACACGCGCACTCACACACACACACACACACACACACACACACACACACACACACACACACACACACACACACACACACACACACACACACACACACACACACACACACACACACACACACACACACACGCACGCACGCACACGCGCACGCACACGCACACGCACACACACACACACATGCACACACAAACAAAACATATGGCTCTCTTCCCAGAACTTCATTCCCAGAAAGGTTTTTCCCGGTCCACGCGAACGCGCGCGCTTGTTTCGTGGGGTTATGTTATTTCCCAGCATGTTTGGTGGGGTTATGGTTTGCTTCTCTCCCGCGTCCCACCCGCGACGCTCGCGCGCGCGCCGCGCCTCCCCCCTCCTTCTCTTCTCCTCCTTGTCCTCTCCTCGCCCGCGCGCGACGCATGCGCGGCGCGCGCGTGATGCGCGCGTCTTCATGCAGCCGCGCGCGCGCGCACTCGCGCGCGCGCCGCGCAGAACCGGCGCGCGCTCGGACTATATCACGCACCCACACTGAGACGCGCGCCCGCCTACAGCCGCACACACATCACACGCGTGCACAAGCCGCATAATACATAAAACGCGCACGCGTGCACGCGCGCGCACGCGCGCGCCCGCATGGAGACGCGCGCCCACCCACAGCCGCACGCGCGACGAGGGTGCGCCGCTGGATCTCCCCAAAGGGGGGGGGGTTAGGACCCCCTCTCCCCCCCCTTCCCCGATCCGTCGTCGGGGACCCCCCCTTCCCTCCCCCCCTTCCCCGATCCGTCGTCGGGGACCCCCCCCCCTTTCCCCGGTCCGTCGTCGCCCCCCCCCCCCCCGTCCCCCCCCCCTTTCCAAAAAGGAAGGGGGAGGGGGGGGGGGGTCCGAACCCCCCCTCCTCCCCCTCTTTCGCCGCGCCGCCCCCTGACTCCGGAACCCGACCCCCGCTCCCCTACCCCTAGTCCTCACCCTAACCCAATCCCCTAATCCGAACCCCAACCACTAACCCCAGCCCCATACATTACTCACTACTCATAACTCACTACCCACTATTTACCACTCGCTTTCGCTACTCATTTCTCACTACCCCCTACTCAAGACTCAATACTCACTATCCACTATTCACTACCCACCACCCACTACTCGCTACTCACTACTCCCTACTCACTACTCCCTCCTCCCTACTCATTACTCACTACTCACTCTTCACTACCCACTACTCAATACTCACTACTCACTAAGCACTACTCGCTACTCCCTACTCGCTCTTCACTAATCACTACTCATTACCCACTACCCACTATCCACTACTCACTACTCACTACTAACTACTCATTGCCAACAAATCACTGATCACTACCCACTACTCGCTACTCGCTACTCCCTACTCAATACTGACTACACAGTACTCAGTACTCACTACTCGCTTCTCCCATACTCGCTACTTAATACTCACTACTCACTCCCCGCTACTCACTATTCACTACTCACTACTTACTTACTACTCCCTACTCACTACGCACTACTCGCTCTTCACTGTTCACTACTCGCTACTCCCTACTCGCTAATCACTACTCACTACCCCCTGCCACTACCCACTACTCTCTATTCATCACGACTCACTACTCACTACTCACTACGCACTACGTACTACTCAGTACTTACTCACTACTCACTACTCACTACTCACTACTCACTACTCACTACTCGCTACTCACTACTCACTACTCACTACTCACTACTAACTACTCATTACCCTCTACTCACTACTCACTACTCACGACGCACTACGCACTACCCACTACTCACTACTCACTAATCAATACTCGCCACTCACTACTCACTACCCACTACTCACTACCCAATACTCATTACTCCCTACTCCCTACTCTGTACTCGCTACTCGCTACTCGCTACTCACTACTCACTACTCGCCACTCACTACTCACTTATCAGTCTACTCACTACTCACTACTCACTACTCCCCACTCCCTACTCCCTACTCGCCACTCACTACCCACAATTCACTACCCAATACTCACTACTCACTACGCACTAACTCACTACTCACCCCTTACCACTCCCAACTCCCAACTCCGCACTCCCCATGCGAGGGGGGGGAGAGGGGGGGGTTCGGGACCCCCCCCCTGAGTGCATTCAGGGAGATCCACTGGCGCACTTTCCGCATCATGCACATGCACAAGGCTCACAAGACAATCTACACATGCAGACACACACGCGCACACAAACACAAACTAACAACGCCAATGCCCGCCTGGCGCGCCTGCTGCATCACGCACCCAGGACGCATGCGCCACGTCCAGACCCAGTCGTCCATGCACAGCAGGCGTGGCACTTTCTCGACACCATAAAGGGGGTGCGTTGGGCGTGGGCTCTGAGCGCGGCCGCTATGCGCGCTGGTCACGCGCGACATAGCAGGCGCGGCGCTTTCTCGACGCCGTGCGGGGTGCGCAGGGGGCGGTCTCTGAACGCGGCCGCTATGTGCGCCCGTC